CTCTCCCCAACCAATATTTGTGCTTGAGGTTGCCTCCGAGTTGTTGAACTTCATGAGGTTAGCACGGTCACACCTCTCTAGCCTGTTGAGGACCCTCTGGATGGCATCTCTTCCTTACAGCATGTCAACCAAACCACACAGCTTGGTGTCCTTGGCAAACTTGCTGCGGGTGCACTCAGTCCCACTGTCCATGTAACCAACAGAGATGTTAAACAGCGCTGGTCCCTGTACCAACCCCTGAGCGGTGCCGCTCATCACCAGTCTCCCATCTTCTCTGTGCAGTCAGCACTGGGGCTGCTTTGGCCTCGCGGTGAGGACAGCCCTGTGGTGATGCCTCTTGACCTCATAGCTGGGCATCTTGGGCAGGTGGGAATGCTGCCAGCGTTGCTGTTCTCCCTTCACATCCATCATCAATGCCTGCTGACAGCCTCCTCCACCGCGCTCCAACACATCCCTCTCCCAGGCTGAGCTCCTGCCAGCCCTGCAGCACCGATTGAGTGATTGAGGAATCTATGATTCCTCCTCAACAAGATGGTCACCTCTGCTCTGAATTCAGAGCTTCTGGTACTTGTGGTGGCCTGGGATTGTTTGTGAAGCCAATATATATGGCTATAGTGCAGCTCAGTCTTCAGTCTTGGGAGCGTGATTTTGCTTTGCTAAGTCAGCCCGCTGGCAGAGTTAGCTCACGTAAACGTGCAGGAGATTAATCTGGCTATTTTAACAGCTTCCCCTTTGTACATGAAGCACCTCACTAAATTAAACAGAGCCGTATCATTAACTGTTTGCATTCCATGTTGTTCACTGGTACTTTTTTTCTGTTTTTTTTTTTTTTTTACGTTGTTCATTGGTACTTTTCTTGTGGGGTTTTTTTTTCCCCTCTTTCACGATAACTGTTTTTTACTCTTTATTGCTTAGGAGACATGTTTAGTTCCAGGTTGAAGAGAGAGTTTACAGTATAAGGGGAAATTGCTATGAACTGAGCTGCTTTGCTCCACAGTATCATCCTTTTGTGTTTCATGGAGATGTTCACCCCCCGACACACACACACTCCCCAGAAATGAGCCAGGTAGGTAAGCAGTGTCTCTCTTCTCATGTAGTTAGTGTAGCTGTGCATAATTCATGTAAAATCAAATGGTTTCTAGTCTGATTTTAATTTATTCTGCGAAGGAAAGGTTGAGACCTATCTTTACATGTCAAATATTTGTCATCTTGGCTATTTATACACTGGGAATTAGTGACTGAGTAGTATTTTCAGGCACCCTAATTCCTGTAAGAGCCACAGCAGTCCGATATCGCTGCACAGTGCATTTCCCTGACAGGGTTTGTTTCTGCCTTGGTCACCAAACTCCTGAGTAATTTTTTGTTTGTTTGTTTCTGGGGATGTTTCAACCCTCAGGATTTATATTAGGAAAATTCTTGCCGTTGCAATTCCTCCTCTGCAAAGCCAAAAAATAGGCACGTTGCGTGGGTGTGAGCCCCAGCCATTTTAGCTTGATTACTGCAGTAGTGGCTGGAGCTGGTAAGTCCCTGGAGGGCTGGAGAGGGCAGGAGGATGGAGTTTGTGGTCGTGGCCCTGGGAAAACACCATTTGATCGGGGCAGCACATTTCTGGGAGGCTTTGAGGGTATTTCCTCAGCCTGGCACTCATTCTTGGTTGGCCTTTCTGCCTCTCCACTTGCTGAGCTGCACAGGTGAGAGACAGCTTACTGCCAACCGTGGCTGAAGGGAGAGCCGGACGTGCCAGCTGCCCACTGTCCAACAGGCATCCCACTCCCTTTGCTGGGACACCTCACCAGTCCATCCCTGTCCTCAAATACAGCTCAGCTTGCCTGCTCGTGGCTGATGGCTGGAGGGATGCTGCCTGCGAGGCCACCCATGCAGCAAAAAGACTCCTGCAGAAATATTTCAGATAAATCCTCCTCCCATTTGTAGCTCAGGGCTTCCTGGGAAGTATCAGTTGGGAATGATGCTGGAGGTGCTGTTCAAAGGTATGGACCCAGGGTGGCATGTAGACCCTAAGGCAGGCCCCAGACTCTCAAAATACTGTTGTTCATTCTGCTGCAATGCTGGTGATATGGAGTGGGCTGAATGAAAGGGTCTCTGGTAAGCTGAGCTCTGTAAGAGCTGAATGAAGCATCAAGTGGCATAAACCCCTTGTATTCAGTGCAGCTCTTCCACATGGTCTGTATGTTACCTACCACTCAGCCTCTCTCTTGCACTGGACAGAGAAGGAGAGTGGAATCAGCCCTAATGTTGCATATGTCTTGTTCTATCCACTTATCTTTAATTCTGCTTTTAAACAATCACAGAATCACAGAACGGTTGGGGTTGGAAGGGACCTCTGAAGATCATCTAGTCCAACCCCCCTGCCAGAGCAGGTTCACATAGAGCAGGCTGCACAGGATCATGTCCAGGTGGGTTTTTAGTATCTTCAGAGAAGGAGACTCCACAACCTCTCTGGGCAGCCAGTGCTCTGGCACCCACAAAGTAAAGATCTTCCTCATCTTCAGGTGGAACTTCCTGTGTTCCAGTTTGTGCCTGTTGCCCCTTGTCCTGTTTCTCTGCACCACTGAAAAGAGTCTGGCCCCATCCTCTCAACACCCGCCCTTTAGTTATTGATAAGCATTGATAAGCTCCCCTCAGTCTGCTCTTCTCCAGGCTAAACAGACCCAGGTCTCTCAGCCTTTCCTCATCAGAGAGATGCTCTAGTTCCTTCATCTTCTTTGTAGCTCTCCACTGGACTCTCTTCAGTGTTTCCTGGTCTTTCTTGAACTGGGGAGCCCAGAACTGGACACAGGACTCCAGATGTGGCCTCACTAGTGCACAGTAGTGAGGGAGGAGAACTTCCCTTGACCTGCTGGTCAGTCTTCTGAATGTACCTCAGGAGACCATTGGCCTTCTTGGCCACGAGGGCACATTGCTGGCTCATGGTTCACTTGCTGTCCACCAGCACTCCCAGGTCCTTCTCCACAGAGCTGCTTTCCAGCAGGCCAATCCCCAACCTGTACTGGTGCCTGGGGTTATCCCTCCCCAGGTGCAGGACTCGCCACTTGCCTTTGTTGAACTTCACTAGGTTCCTTCCCACCCAGCTGTCCAGTCTGTCCAGGTCACGCTGGATGGCAGCATGGCCTTCCAGTCTGTCAGCCTCTCCTCCCAGTTTTGTATCGTCAGCAAACTTGCTGAGGATATATCCTGTCCCTCCATTCAGGTCACTGGTGAGTATGTTGAACAAGACTGGACCCAGTACTGACCCCTGGGGACACCACTAGGTACAGGCTTCCAACTAGACTCCGCACCTCAATCATGATTCAGATGGATGGATGCCTTGAGAAGCACTTGATCAACTAAATGATCTGTTGCTTTGAAGTGGGAGCAAAGCCCCTCTTTGTGCTTTAAGGAAGCAAAGAGGCTGCTGAAGCCGGGAGATTTCAGCCCCTGTGACTAGCATAAGGTTAACGAGCCATAAAGCCTACGGACGATATGTTACTGTAATGATTCAGGACTGTAAGTGTAATATTTTTATGTTAGCTGGGTAATGTCAGTGTTCTGTGTGTCACAGATCTGTTCCCACAATGACAGTCATTTGAGCGCTTTAGAAGGCTTTATTTAGTGATGTTTCTGCGCAGCTCAACATCACTTACAGAAAATGACGGGTTAGGTTTTCCCCAGTTTCATAGAAGTCCAAGTCTTTACACTGACAAGGCATGTGCAAGAACTGCAGCAGAGACTGGAGTGTGAGTTGTTGAGGCGTCAGCATTTATACTCACCTGAGAGTAATCTGTAAAATTCAACAAAATCTCTAAATAATGTGCAGAGAGAATGAATGATTCTCAGTTCATTTCTCTACCAGCAGAAATCTGAATTTGGCGATAGACTTCAGCACACTGGACTTAACTGAACAGATGAACCTTTTCTGGGAGTAGCTTGAACACTGCAGCCTGCTGCAAAGGAGAACTTGCAGCCTCTTCCATGACAGTGTCCAAAGTGGGTTTGAGAGATGTGTCATCCTTACCAGGACTATTCTGACTCCCTTTGTCTGTTGCATTTTGCGAGAAAGGCTTTGGTTTGCTGGGCAGGAGATGACAGGAATTTGGGCCGCGTCCATGATGAGAAACAGTTTGGGTAAATCTGGTTTTGATGGTTCTGTCGGTGGAGTGGTTAAGGTCCAGTTACTTCGTCAGTCCACAGCAGTGACAATCAACATGAACTATGATTCCTGTTATTTTACCAAATATCTTTCTATTCTATTTTCTCTTAAATGCTGTAATTTCAAGCACTGTGAGTTGGGAGTTGATAGAGGGACAGAGCAGGCAACCACTTATATATACATGTTTTTGTTTTCTTTTTTGCAAAGATAGATGTTTTACATTACATACTGGGAAAAGCTGATTGTGAATTCCTTTCTAGTCACTGTATGTCTAGCAGAGTTCCCTGCTGGACAGACTGTTGTATAGATACAAGCAGAAAAACCCCTTTTGGGCATAGGGTTTTCCCTTTTTGTTCCAGTAACTCTGTTGAAATGTTTGAAATAGCTTGTTTTAACCAAAACATCCCTGTGTGCATAGGGTGGTGGGGAGTCCTGACTGAACAGCATATCACTTCAGACCAAGCAAACTCATTTGAGGTTATCCAGTAATGTTCTAATTGTTTGAATCCACTCTTGTTTTAATTTTACATTTGTTAAATGAGCCTGTACTCTTTAGGCACAGTATGAGAAATCAACACCTACGGGAGGGGAGACATAAGAGTCTTGTATATCATGACAGCTGGGTAGCTTGAATGTGAGTAGTTTTAAGTGGCCCAGTTCATTTGGGACGTATGTCATACTTTCCTCCTAGCTGTTCCCGTTTTCCCTCCAGTCTGTCTCCAAAAGGAGAGTTTAACCAGCTGGAGCATGTGTGAGCCTGGCCCCTGCTGAAAGGAGAACCAGAGATGTACAGAATCACAGAATTACCTCAATTGGAAAAGACCTTGAAGATCATTGAGTCCAGTCATTAACCTCACACTGACAAGTCCCTGATTAGACCATGTCATGTTGACTAAACCAATCTAAACTTCCCTTGGCACAACCTGAGGCTATTTCCCCTCATCCTGTCACTTGCTACTTGGTTGAACAGACTGACCCCACACCTCTCCACACCCTCCTTTTGTACCAAAGCTGTGATGGTGGTCAGTAGGAGTGTTGTTTTAAGCACGGGTGTTACACTGCAGGACATGTGTTTGGGCTGTGTGTCTAGCCTGGAGCCAATGTGGTAAGGAACAGACCAGCTCCCAGGTTGTGTTGCCCATCTGAAAAAAATTCTCAAAACAAGTTTGCTTGGCCAATTTTTTTAATTAAGGGAAGGAAAAGCAGTTCCTGAAACTGAGAGAGATGGGGAATGTTCCAATTTCTGGCACATTTTTATTACCAAGTCCTAAGCTCCTGATGATAAGAGAAGTTTTTATTGTGGAAACTCTGACACAACTCATATCTTTAGGGCTGGCACATGATGCTCTTAAACTGGCTGACAGATCAGACTTGAGCAAAGACCTGTTGAGGAGGCTGCTGGTGTCCTGTTAGAAGAGTTGTTGCTACTCTTCTGATACAAGTGGTGAACTTTCACTCTACTGTACTTGGCAAAGGCACGCTGTGGCGAACATGGAATGGCACAGTGCTTCAGTGCTGCCACACTCTCCTGAACAGTGCACTGACTGAATGGCAAGGACTGGGAAGTGGGGTGATGTGTCCTGGAGCCACGGGGCAGAGGTGGGCTGAGAACCTTACCTCCTGTCTGCCCAGCCTCATCTGCTGAGTGACTCTGCAGGCAAGGGCAAGGATTGTAGGATTGTCTTTGCATCAAGGAAAGCCAAAAATAATGTCAGTTGGCCCCTGGCACATCCTGTGTTTTGTTTTTGTGTCTTTCAGCATATTTCTGTTTCCTGATGGCAGCCCTGGGCGTGACGGCTGGTGCACATCGCCTGTGGAGCCACCGTTCCTACAAAGCCAAGCTGCCTTTGCGGATCTTTCTGGCTGCAGCTAACTCCATGGCTTTCCAGGTGGGATTGTGGTTGCCCAGCCAGATTCTTGGCCTCCAGGCAGCCTTCTGTCCTGTGCAGGAATCCCCACAGCTTAGAGACAGCAAAAGAAAAACAAAAAAATGTTGGCAGAAAGACATTTGCTGATAACACACTTGAGGGATGCAGAGCCCCTCTCACCACCAATGTGGCAGTACACATTAGACAGTCCAGGAGCCCAAGGACCAAGTTGAATGTGCCCAGATCAGGGGCTCAGCACCCCAGCATCCCATCTGTGGCACAGATCAGGCCCCACGCTTCACAGGACAATGTGGAAATTTTTATAAGGGTCGACTTGATGCAAATATATCTGTGTAATCGAGTCTGTGTCCATCCATGCAGCTCAAGGTTTGTGATGTGCCCAGGAAGGAGAGCAGGCACGCTTTCACAGTCGTCATTTATCTTTGTTTTATGCAGCACTTTTCACCAGTAAAATCCAAATGCATTTGCAAAGCAGTGTGTTACTAGCTCTGTACTTACTGATAGGCAATCTTAGACCTCAGAAATGTTTGTGTAACACCCAGCTGGTGGTAGGAGTTAGACCAGAAGCAGGATCTTCTTGGTGTGAATTTAATTACTCCTCTGGCTGTTCAAGTCAGAAATATGAACCTGTACTAAGATTAAACGTACCGAGCTTGGCTGCTGTTACCCCTCATGGCACCAAGTACCTCATGTTTGCTGTGCCTTGAGTTTCCAGCTTTTTCCCTTCACTCCATTTGGTTGACTTCTCATTGATGTACCTTGACAGAAGATGAAAAGAGTCCCTTTATCCAATTCTATACTGTTCATTTATCCTTTTTGATTTATCTTTTTTTTTTAAGGTGGAAAGAATTAATCTTATTAATCCCTCTAGGCATTACAAAGAACACTGCTTTTGCTTGAATATGGGAATGTGTCCATTGGACTATAACCTTCCTTTATTCTGAGCCATATTCCAGCTGCTTTGTGCTGCTCAGTTCCTTGCAGAGCTTTACAAGCCCTTTGCTCCTCATGTTAAACAACTGGTTTGAGTTTTGAGAAGCCCCTGGTGCTGTCCTCTTGATTTACTGCTGATTTTATCTTTTGTAAGTATTTTAAATGGACGTGTCAAGCTGGTTGCAGTGAGTCTGCACGTTGAGATTCCCTTGCGTTCTGCTCCCCTGTTGCTATGGATTTTGCTCTCAGCTGCGTTGGCCTCATCGCTGCTTTTGGCTGGGGACATGGTGTAATTCTGAGTCAGGGAAGTACTTCAAAGTAGTTCTAAGCCACCTTTGTGCCCTTTATCTTGGTAATAAAATCACAAAATCATATAATCATAGAATGGTTTGGGTTGGAAGTGATTTTTCAAGTTCATCTATCCCAACCCCCCTGCCATGAGCAGGGACACCTTCCACTAGACTAGGTTACTCAAAGCCTCATCCAACCTGGCCTTGAACACTTCCAGGGAGGGGGTATCTGCAACTTCTCTTGGAACCTGGACCAGTGTCTGACCACCCTCACAGGAAATAATTTCTTCCTCATATCGCATCTAAATTTACTCTCATCCAGTTTATAACTATCGCCCCTTGTCCTGTCACTCCCTGCCTTTGTCAAAAGTCCCTCCCCAGTCTTCCTGGAGCCCCTTCAGGTACTGGGAGGCCGCTAGAAGATCTCCCTGGAGCCTTCTCTTCTCCAGGCTGAACAGCCCCAACTCTCAGCCTGTCCTCACAGCAGAGCTGTTCCATCCCTCTGATCATTTTTGTGGCCTCCTCTGGACTCACTCCAGTAGGTCCATGTCCTTCCTGTGCTGAGGGCCCCAGAACTGGAGGCAGCACTGCAGGTGGGGTCTCACCAGAGCAGATTAGGGGGGCAGAATCCCCTCCCTCGACCTGCTGCCCACGTTTCTCTTGATGCAGCCCAGGACACAGTTGGCCTTTTGGGCTGCAAGTGTGCATTGCTGGCTTGTGTTGAGCTTCAAATCCACCAGCACCCCAAGTCCTTCTCTGCAGGGCTGCTCTCCATCCCTTCATCCCCCAGCCTGTATTGATACTGGGGATTACCCCAGCCCAGATGCAGGTGAAAGGCCAAACCACCCACTCCTAAGCTGGAAACATGCTTCTAATTACCATGACATCCATTGCCTGCTAATGGCTGTTTTCTCCACCACAAGCAGACAGCGAATGAGTTTCCAGGTCCATCTCCCTCACGTTGGCTTTGGGAGTAAGAGGTAGCATTGGAGATACCTACAGGATCCCTGGATGCTGAGTGTTGAAGAAATATTCAGACTTCCTGAAGGTCAGGGGCAACTCCTCTGAAGAGTTTTAACTTGGTGCTGCATGGGCTGTGATGTGCTGTGCTTCCTCTGAAACAGCATCAGATGCAGCTGGTTTTGCCCTCTTGCCCAGTGTTATTTTGTAGGACTGGAGGATGCTGAGCTGTGTTTCTTCTCTCCATCGAGAGTGAAGCTCTCACGATTTTGCAAGATTCTGCTTCTTGCTGTCACATGTCTGTTTCAGTAATAGGTAATACCTGGCTTATGTCTACTTGGTTGGGACGTGCTGGTGTCTCCTCAGCTAACTGCATTGTCCTGTTGCTCCTGGCCAGCTCTGAAATAAGTTCAGCTGAGGTTGCGTGGTGAGCTTTTGCACACAGCAACAGGAGTTGTGTGGAACTGAGGTTGTTACAGAGCCCAATTTATTGTCATGTTTCAATCTCCAGGTTTATTAAGGGACCTGCTAATGAAACCTCACATCTGCATCATTGTCACAGCACGATGCTGTCGCTCGCTGCTTTGGAAGGGATTTCACACTCCTGTGTTTACTTGATCAAGAGTGATGCATTCCTGAAAAAATATTTGCTATTAATACACTCAGAGCATATTTACACATGCTGCACTCCACTTCTTGGTGTGTTTATTGCCAACACTTCTGGCCTCTGGCCTTTATTTCCTCTTAACCTTTGTGGTTTTTAATTAGATGCAATTCAGTTGTTTCACAGCTTCCTAACCCTTTCATCTGGGAATCCTATTTTTTGCCAGCCCTGCAGATATTTGCTGTGGTATGAAAAGGCAAGTTAATTTGTCACAGTATCATTGCTTTGACCTGGTTATCTGCTGTCCCACAAATAATTTTATCAAGTGCTCTTGTGACAAAGTGATCAATAATCTTGGCGTTTTCCAGCCTTCTGAAACCACTTGAAGCAGTGCAGAAGCTTTCATTCCCTTTGATTTCTCTGTAGGAAAAAATAAGATGGCAGCAAGGTGAAGACCTCCCCTTGTCCTCACTGAGGAGTTTGGTCACTTCCTTTGCTTCACTTGGTTTACTTTGTTCCCTTGTGCAATGAATGGGGTAGTTAAGGTGTGACATACTGGGGTGCTGGTACGGGGCTGATCACAGAATCACAGAATGGCCTCGATTGGAAAAGACCTTTAAGATCATGGAGTCCAATCATTAACCTCACACTGACAAGTCCCCGTCTAAACCATGTCCCTCAGCACTATGGCTACAAGATTCTTAAATCCCTCGAGGGATGGGCACCTTCCATTAGAGCAGGTTGCTCAAAGCCTCATCCAATCTGGCCTTGAATGCTTCCAGGAAGGGGGAAGCCACAGCTTCTCTGGGCAACCTGGGACAGTGTCACCATCCTCACAGGAAAGAATTTCTTCCAGGCCTAATCTAAATCTACCTTCTTTTGGTTTAAAACTGTTACCCTTCATCCTACCACAACACTCTTTAATAAAGAGTCCCTGCCCATCTTTCCTGTAGGCCCCCTTCAGCTACTGGAAGGCTCTGCTCTCGTACACATCCCCGCAGACAGAGCAGTCATTTAAATGGAGGTGCTGGTTTTACTGTGGAAGGTGCATCCCTCTGAAAGGCTGAGAAAGTTCAGCTCCTGTTCAGGTCAGGAAAAGGCACTTGTAGTGTTCCACAAGCTCTGTCCAGTTTTCAGCACTGGAGGCCATCAGTGGTAACCAGCTGCCACCAGGTTAGGAAAAGGATGCTAGAACTGCGTGCCCCTGAACAGTAGTGTCCTGAAAATAAATATGCAAGCTCCCCCGTGGCAGGATCATAAAAGAACAATGTAAACATGTATGTACCTGGTCCCTCCAGCCCACTGTCCATCCTTGGACAGTGAATATCCATGGAGAACACAGGACCAGGGCAGACCGATGATGGCAACTCCCAAGAGGCTGTTGGCTTCCAGCCATCTCCAGCCCTGGGATGTGTCCAATCTGTGTCACCAGTTCCCAGAGCACGTCCCATTCTGTGTGGGCACTGGCAGGAGCAGTGTGATGGGCTGTCTGTCTGCAAAGCTGGGGTCCCTCAGGATGCCTTTAGTCTAGAACCCTTTTTTTGAGGAGCATCAGAGAGGAGCTTGTTTCTGTTACTGTGTGGGGAAGGAACTGGAGGTGGTACTGCTGAAGCAGTGCCCAGCCTCTCTCCTCTCACCACGATGTGCTTTCTGTGCAGAACGACATCTACGAGTGGAGCCGAGACCACCGTGTGCACCACAAGTACTCAGAGACGGACGCAGACCCACACAACGCCCGCCGTGGCTTCTTCTTCTCCCACATAGGCTGGCTGTTTGTGCGCAAGCACCGGGACGTCATCGAGAAGGGGAGGAAACTGGATTTCACTGACCTGCTGGATGACCCTGTCGTCAGGTTCCAAAGAAAGTAAGCGGGAGCCATGGGCCCTCACGTGAGGTGGGGTGGTTGTCTGGTGGTTGTTCGTTCCTTATTTTTATCTGTTCCTTTTCTCCCCCAAGACATCCCTGCCACCTTGATTGCAGGCATTAGGACTGCTGTCCCTCTGGCCCCTACTGTTGCCTCGTGGCTAATGATTGCTGACTGTCCTTGAAGGCTCTGCTGCACAAGCAGCGAGCCCTGTCCTTGTCCCTCTACTTTTCTAAAAAGCCAGGGCTGGCTGTGAAAACAGCCACAGCAGAAGTTTGCCTTCTCTTTTGATCCTTGGAGCAAACGCTGTAATCACTAACTGCCTTAATGCAGAAATGCACATTTCACTCTGCAAATTCATCTTTGGCACCTGTGGGCCAGCACAGACCAAGCACTTCCTCTCCCAAGACTGTCATTCTTCACAGGATTAATAATCCCCCTTGAGAATCAGCACAGACCTGGTTCAGTTGGCTACACACTCTGCAAGAGGTGGAAATTGAGCAACATGCTTTGTCCTCTATGTGAGTACCTGTATTTTAGGCACAAGATGACTGTCTCTGCCTGCAAGCATTTGGTCCAGGTACTTTGATAAACCACTGAAGCTCATTTCTGAGTGTTTTATGGGTGAGGGGAGCAGTCTGTTGAGTCCAGAAATCAGTTTCTTTTTTTGCATTAGAGAAATCCCTGCACTGGCAGATTATGGAAGAGCCCCAGGAGTGTGGGGAATTCACTGCCCTCCACATATTGTTGCTTTTACTGGTTCCTCAGTTGGCAGTGCCCTGTTTGCAAAGGCTCAGTTGCAGTTTGCTGCAGCTCCTCTTGGTTGTGTTATTCCCTTTCCAAGACAACAGCATCTCACAAGAAGCAGGCTCTACTGCTTTGGTTATGCTGCAAATGGTGTGTAATGAAGAAGTAGGTTTTCTGCAGGGAAGTTATGTCTTAGCAAATGTCTCTGCTCTGGATTTGAATTTAGGACTTTGGATTTTACCTTCCCTTATCTGGGAAGAAAAAATCAGGTTTCTGCTTTTCATAAGGCTGAAATGTTGGCGTTTTTGACAGCATGGAAAACCTGACAGGTCAGATCAGTAAGAATCATAATAAACTCTTCTTTGTCATGTTTCATTTTAAAGCCAGATTGTTAGCTTTGCTGAATTTAGTGGTACTGATTAGCTGTGGATGAGATATCACTCAATCAATTGAAAAACCACATCACTTCAGCTGAAATGACTGTACTGCTCCAGGTGTGACTGACAGCAAAATTTACCCTCTGTGAATAGCAGTAATCCTGCAAGTGATGCGAAAGAGGCTCACAGGTGAAGTGTCTTCATGACCAGGTTTTCATGTGGGGAAAGCAGCACTGTTCCCCAAGCAAGTATTGAGCCATTGGTTCCTCTCAACTCCAGGTAAGGGGATTTCTCATTCCAAGGTGGATGTTTCAGTTAAAGGGATACAGAGAAAATGTAGCCAGGTGCTCGTTCAGATGTGAGATCTCATGTCTTCATCAAAGACTTCAGTCTGGGCTTCTTGCATCTCACAGAATGGTTTTAATTGGTGCCTGATAACCTGTTTTCATATTTTATTTTATTTTCCTGGGGTGGGAGAAGCTTTGAGCTTTGAAGGAGCTTTCTGGGCTGGGAAAATACTTTTCTCCTCCAGTTCTACTTAAATCCTGGCCTTGAATTGATGAGGTTTGCAAACCTTATTTACAGCCTCGTTCAGATCAGTCAGATGAGTGGGAAATTGTCTGTTATCTTTGGTGGAGTGATGAATGAGAGCTGTTGCCTGTGAAAAGCCTTGGCTCAGGTAAGTGAAGATAGAGTTCTCTGAGAGAGCTGAAGAGATGCTCTCTTTTCACCATGGTTGGTGTTGTTGGACAGCTGCAGATCTCCTTCTGGAGCCTAGCATGTCAGGCACAGCCTCCAGACAGCAACAAAAAATATCAAACAGATAATTTGCAGGGCAGGATGTTAATTTAGGGTCATAGACTGGTCTGGCTTGGAAGGAACCTTAAAGATCATCCAGTTCCAACCCCGCTGCCATCAGCAGGGACACCTTCCACTAGACCAGGTTGCCCAAAGCCTCATCCACCCTGGCCTTGAACATTTCCTGGGAGGAGCAGCCACAGCTTCTCTGGGCAACCTGGGCCAGTGTCTGGACACCCTCAGAGGAAAGAATTTCTTCCTCATATTTCATCTCAATCTCCCCTCTTCCAGTTTAAAGCTGTTTCCCCTTGTTCTATCACTCCCTGCCCTTGTAAAAAGTCCCTCTCCAGCCTTTCTGTAGCCCCTTCAGGTACTGGAAGGCCGCTGGAAGGTCTCCCTGGAGCCTTCTCTTCTCCAGGCTGAACAGCCCCAACTCTCATAGCCTCAGTGGGGTGCCCGTGGTCTCTCAGCATCTGCTTTGTGTCTGCCACCACTGTTGGATCCCATGGAGCCACAGTGGTAGAGAAAGGAGCTGCTCCTGCCCTGTGATGCAGGTTCCTTTCTGATCTGAGCACGGGGAGAGTCTTTGCTGGCTCTTAGCAGTGAATGTGTTTGTGACACAGCTCCGCCAATGCCACACCAAGCCTCAGGCTTTTCCAGTGCCAGAGGACAACCCTAGGCACAGGGTGTGCAGCCAACTCAGCACTTCCCCAGGTTTAAAGGTGTTCAACTTGGGAAGTTTGCTTTGGGACTGGGTCTCAGCTGTTCAACTCAAGCATTACCTGCTGCTTCAGGGTTTCGGGTTGTCTTGGCATTTTGAATTGCACTTGGAAAAATTATGTCACGACTGTGGATGTCTGAAGTGTTCCCTCCTGCCCCAGGTTTCTGGCAGAGCCATGTCTCCAGAGGTCCAGCTGTATTTCACCCCAGCTGTCACTCGCACCACGGTAATGGTGTCCTTTTCTTTCCCCGCAGGTATTACAAGAGTTCAGTTGTGCTGATGTGCTTTGTGATCCCTACCTTCGTGCCCTGGTACCTCTGGGGAGAGAGTCTGTGGAACGCCTACTTCCTTGCCTCCGTCCTGCGGTACACCATATCCCTCAACGTTGCCTGGCTGGTCAACAGCGCCGCTCACATGTACGGCAACCGCCCTTACGACAAGTACATCAGCCCCAGGCAGAACACCTTTGTCACTCTGGGAGCCATTGGTAAGTGCTGTAGCCCCGGGTAGAGCTTTCCAAACTCAGAGTGACATCCCATCCTGCTTCACCCTGGTTGGGGCTTTGGGTGTTTGCAACTGGACACCACTCAGAGCTGGGGCTTGGAGGAGGCTGGAGCTTGAGCATCCTAGAGGAAGGCTCCCTTGTTCTCCTGAGGGTGTCCACGTTGCAATATTGCCATGTAGTCTCTGGGCAGAGAGGTGTTTGCAGGAGCAATCCTCTCTCCTCAGCAGTCAGCTGAGGACAGCGCAGCAGAAGTTAAGTGACTTCTTACTCAGTTGTGCGTCTCCCCTCTTGAAGCACTTATGGTTTTCTTCTGTCAGCGTAAGGGGTGGGACATGCCCCTTCCTACTGGGGAGGAAAGCCCAAAGCACTGACATGGAGTCTGTTGTGAGTCTGCCCCAGAGGTCTCCCATAGCCAGAGGTAGAGCATAACCTGCACTGAATTCAGGACTTGGGAAACAGACGTTGGGATGTCCCACTCGAGCATGTTCCTAGGTTTGTAAATGTGCCGCTCATGTGGTCTTTAAACTCCCTCTCTGTTTTTCAGGTGAGGGTTTCCACAACTACCACCATACCTTCCCATTCGACTACTCAGCCAGCGAGCTGGGCCTGAAGTTCAACCCCACCACCTGGTTCATTGACTTCATGTTTTGGTTGGGGTTGGTCACTGACCGCAAGCAGGCTCCGAAGGAGATGATCCAGGCTCGCAAGGAAAGGACTGGAGATGGCAGTGCTTGAAAAGTAATGCTTTGCTGTGCCAGCACTGTCGTACACATGGGTGGGTGGGTGGGTGTGTGTGTGTGCACCCTCATGCCTGTGGTGGATTTATTTTCCTGGGGGTAAAATTAGTTTTTTTCAGATCAGTTGGGCCGAATTAATTCCCCAGGAACAGATTTCGGCCTCAGCTTTTTTTCCTTATTAGCTGTCTTATGTCCAAACTTCAGACTATTAAGTGTAAAAATGTTCTATATTATTTAATATGATAGTTAAACAGGGGAGAGATTTGATTTTAGTCACTGTAGTTCATGTCTGAAATACATTGTAATTTGCTTGTTAATGGTAAACGTTGGCAGGTTGGAGGAACTAAATATCCTTTTCAAGTGCAGTTAGGGGAGATATTTTTTTTTCTGCTAGTAGTCAAATATGCTTTTGAGACACCTCCCTTGGAGGGGATGGGTGCTGGTTCAACTCCAGACTAATGGAAAGGACAGTAACAGCACCAATGAAAAGCAGGATGTCCAAGGGGAAAAATCAGCCTAAATTTAGTTAGATGTTAGTTTGAAAACCTGCTTTCTTCTTTTGGTTAGCCCTGTTAGCGCTCCTGTCTTTGCTAAATATGAAACCCATTTATTGCTGAGCAGGCTTTTGTGTTGAAGATTAGTCTCTATACAGGCCAAAGTACCAACTGATGCTATGTTGGGACAATTCCTTTGTTGTCGCATATACATTGTAATTTGTAAAGGTACGTAAAGGTACAGAGCTCAACCATGTCTTAAGCCAAATAAAGCTTTGGTTTCAATGTTTGGAGACCTAAGTTATGTTCGAATCGGTCATGGCCATCAGTGCATGCATATTTTAGCTTCTTTTGCACAAGAGGCCTCTTAATTTCTTTTTCTGCCTTTGACTAGCAGGTCTTAGAAAACTGACCTTTATCTAAATCAGAGTCTCTACTAATATTTCAGCTGCATGCAACATCCATTGGTTTCTGAGCAAAATATAAAGACAGTTATGTAGCTTCTGAATTTTAACAGTTGCCTTGTTTAAAAAAAAATAAAAAAGAATAAAAAAAAGCATGTGGAACTAATGGGACATATAGCCCTTTGTGTTAGATGTTAGTCAGTGCAGGAGAGAGGCTTTGTACTATCAGCACTGGAGCATTTTTGAAGATAGAGGGCATGATTTTCATTTATAAAGAAGGTCACCACCTTGTCCCTCAGAGAGGGAGTGTCTGTTTCCATGCCCTGGCCAAGGCAGGGATCTCAAGATAACTGAGACTCAGGCCCAGATATTTTCAGGAAAGATGAAAATGAAAAGATGTAGAACTGTAAAAAAAAATTTAAAAAAAAAAAAAAAATTAAAAAAAGGTTTTCCTTTTTTTCTGTTTCTTGTTTTTTAAATGATGCCATATAATATAAAAGAGTGGTCTTTATTCTGTATTTCATCCAGCAGGTGTTTTAACAGTGTTGCTTTGCCATTAACGATGTGTAAACTCTTGAGTGATTTACAATAAACAGTTACGAGTTAGACTGGCCGCTGTGTTTTATTTTGAAACGTCTCCCAGAGCGAACGGCTTTGTGCATCAGACATCAGAATTACAGCAGTGTTTCACTTGGCATTTCCAGCTCTTCACTTGGTGTAGCGTTTCCAGGATACCTGCCCCCTCAGCGTTTCTGCTTTCCTCGTCAGTGGAAGAGGAGTGTTGTCAAACAGAAAGGCACCAAGAGATTTGATTACTTCAGGCTTAGTGGCCAAGCTGATCGAGGGGAATAAGAAAATTCAAGCTGATGTAAGCTTGAAAGGAGACAGTGGCAAGTTCTTGCATGTGAAAACCCCACTTCAATAGCAAAATATCAGCCTGATGTGACTGCAGGACAATCCTTTGACCAGAAATAGTAAGTATTTTGTTTAGATTTTGCTGTCATTTCTCCTTGTTTCTGATGAGATATGCCTGAAGGCCTGGGTGTGCCAGAACTTGTGTCTTGATGTGCATTCATCTGGAATCAGGGCTATTTGACAGACGTAGGAATTACATGCACACAAGCAGGAGATGTCTCCCCAGCACCGCCTTACAGTGCCTGCAGGAGCGGGTGGAACCAGGCTTCTGGAGCTGGGAGGTTTCCAACCTGCTGGTTAGAAAGACAGCACTGTTGCTTCCTTCTTCATGCCATCAACAGGCAGTTGGGGAGCAGCAAAAATCATTGGGAACCTGCCTTCAAAATGATGCGGGTGATGGGTCGTCCTTGACGTTGGAGTGTAGGAGTGAAGCTGGGAAAATGCACAAATGCCTAATCTTACTGGTGCTCCCATCACTTCGTTTGTGCAATTTCCTGGCTGGAGAACTGCAGTGAATGTACTTTCCAGGCACTCCAACAACGTCTTCCTGTTGATCTTTATCACACTTTTAATCTTCTTTTTTTTTATTTATTTTTTTTTCTTTTGTACCGCTATTACTTGGACTTCCTTAAGCTGATTCCCGTCAAGTACATGGTGTAAGAAGAATAACTGGCCTTGCAGAGAGGTACATGCTGTTCTGAAATTCTCTGACTACATGAAATTACAGTAAGGTAATTTCCACCCCCCCACAACCCCTGCTGCAGGTATAAAACTTCAGCAGCTTCTGAGGTTTTGAAGCCATTGGCAAGTAACTTGTGGTTTTGAAAAAGTGAAAGTAAATAAAGAAACATCATTTGGGGATTGAACTAGATGACCTTTAAAGGTCCTTTCCAACCCAAACCATTCTATTTAGAAAAGAAAAAGAAATTTAGAAAAGGAAAAGCTCCTCCATTTAATGTCTTATCTTGGATCTTGTACTACCTGCATTCCTGTCTCTGTAGGTGAACTTCTTCATGTGGTGGAGCTGATCAAAAAATGTCAGTTAGCCTTTGCAGGAAACCTAGATGTTTTATTTTTTTTTAAGAGAATGCCTTGAATTTTGGTAAAACAAGGAATATTTCCATGCATTTTCTTTTTTGCTTATTTGCTTTGATTTTTTGCGTGTTAGTTTTAAAATTTTTTTGCTTGTTTTTGATTTGGTTTTGTTTTGGAAATAATTTTGGCCATGTTCTCTAGTGTGGTCTCCTCTTCCTCGAGAAGATGTAGGATCTCTAGAATGCAGGAAGGGCAGATGCTGGATCTACCTGCAGTCGCCTGCAGTGATATGGGCAAGTTGTGGAGCCTCGGTAAGATGGATGCCAAGGCATGAGTGGCACTTGTTTCTGTGGACTTTGGCACCTCTCCTGCTAATCTGGTGGTCAAGGACCTCACCGGTGCTTTCTGAGCAGTGCAAAAGCATTGAGGGACTGCTGGTTGATGGGTGGCTGGCCGTAGGCTGGGCTAAACCAAGGATACAATGACTGTCCAACTATTAAAATAATAATAACAGTAAAAATACAGTGTTCAAATGAGTGATGCACAGTGTAGTTGCTCACCACCTGCTGACCCTGTCCCAGCCAGTGATCCCGGAGCCCAGACAGTCCCAAAACCACAATCCTGGAAGAGTGAGCCCAAGCAATCATAGAATGATAGACTGGTTTGGGTTGGAAGGGACCTTAAAGCTCATCCAGTTCCAACCCCCCTGCCATCAGCAGGGACACCTTCCACTAGACCAGGTTGCTCAAAGCCTCATCCAACCTGGCATGGAGGGCACAGCAAGAGAATCCCCAGATTTCCAGTCACCTCTCACTAATATACTGAACATGATGTTCTATGATATGGAATATCTCATTGACATATCCAAATGCCAATTTAAGTTTTGCTAATTACTACTCTTGCCCCCTTCTCCCCCCTAGTCCTTTGCACTTGTACACTAACAAAACACAAAGTCCTTCGACTTCCAGCAACAATTAAATTATCAACATTCTTCTCATAACAAATCCCAGCTGAACCCAAACCCCAGCGCTGTTCTAGCTGCTAAAAAGAAACCCAGCTCTGTCCCAGCTCCAAACCAGGATGCCTTGTAACCCCAGGTGATGTCTGCATCCCTATCGCCTTCCGCAGCTTGCAAGTGCAAGGCGACTGCTGTCCTCTGCCTGGTGTCGATAATTTTTCAGGCCCAGAAATTGGCAACCAGAATATGACTTTCTTGGAAATAAGCCCAGCAGATGGGAAATGCAGCCAAGCTTCAGATATTGCATCAAGCTGTTGGGGTGGGAGGTTCTCAGGAAAAATAAAAGTTTTCTGAAAGTTCTCCTGTGTCCATCTGACGCCGGGAGTCCAGGCTGGAAATGTGGTGACAAGACCTACAGGTTCTGGTCAGCCTATTGTTGAGATATTTGCAGCTGGGAGGGCTCTCAGTTTGGAGGGATTTTTAGTGGTTAATGATGTATCTGCTCCCAGGCTGTGGCCCCCAAGGCAGGGCCAGGCTGGACTTGTGTTACCTCAGTACTTTTGCTCCTGGACCATTCTGTAGCTATACCCTTAAGAAGAAAGGGTCTCACAGAGAGTTACGGGTCTCCTTTTCACCACCTTCTGGGACACTTCTGGGAATCAAGGTGCAATTTCCCTTAAGATCTTCTTTTAAAAGAACAAAAAGAAAAACTGAAAGCAGAGCCCAGTGGGAAATGAGACATTTGTTAACACATGCCCCACCTCCTGCAATGGCTCTGGCTCAGTGGTGCCCAGCCCAGGAACTGAAACTTCTGGCATCCAGGGACACACACCCAGCAACACCAGCCCCACAAGACAGTGGGGAATAGGGCGGGGGAAAAAAAAACCCCTTTTGCAGGCCTTGGAAGATAACTGGGAGAAAAGCTCCAGTGAGCAGTACAGATAAAAACTGCAGGTGAAACGGTGCCTACCACCTTGGCACGGTGACGTCTAACCTCAGTATTAACTAGAGGTACTAAATTTTCCTGGCTGATATAATTTTATTAGTGTTTATAGCATAAAAATAGGAAATCATTATTTTACTAAATCTCATTATTCTTAAAAAAAAATAATTTGTCTTTTTTACACCGTTTTCTCTGCTTCATATAGGACTGTCCTCCTGCCAGGCCAGAACACATGCCCGGTGAGGCCAG